TTATGGCACATCATTCAGGAAACAAATACACATATTAAAATAGGTATCCCCAGAAGGAGAAGAAAAAGAGAAAAAGGTAAAAGCTAACATAAAGAAATAATAGTCAGAAACTCCCCAAATATGGAGAGGAACATGGACATCCAGATTCATGAAGTCCAAAGAACTCTTAATTGGTTAAATCAAAAGAAATATATGAAGTTATCAAATACCAATGTTAGGGACTTGTCCAACATATGCCATGGTCTGGAGTTGATCCTCATCACTGGGAAAAAAAAATGACAATGAAAGTATTTTTAAAGCAAAAAGAGAAAAGCAACTTGTTATGTGCAAGTTAATAAATTACTTATAAGATAATCAACAAATTTCTTAGGAGATGCCTTTGAGGATAGGAGGGAATGGGATGGCATACTTAAATTGTGAAATAAAAAACTGCCAATCAAGAATACTGTATCTAGAAAAACTGTTCTTAAAAAATGAAGGAGAGGGAGGGCTTTACCAGATTAAAGTCAGGAGGTTTGTCACTATTCAACATGGCTTATAAGAAATGCTGAAGGAAGTTCTTTTGAGTTAAAATGAATGGATGCTAAGCAACAAAATAAAGCATATGGAAGTATATATCTCATTGATAAAGGTAGATATGATGGTATGTAAAATGATGGTATGTAATGATGGTATGTAAAATCACTTTTAACCCTAACATAAAAGTTAAAAGTATAACTACAAAAATTTGTTAATGGATACACGATATTAGAAACAAAGCAACAATGACATAATTGTGTATGTGTATGTGTGTGTGTGTGTAATAAGAGTACAAAGATTTTGTTTGTAACTGATGTTATTATTAGCTTGAAACAGTCTGTTATAACTATATGAAGTTTTAAGTAAGTCTCATGGTAACCAAGGGGGGGGGAAACTTTAAAGAATAGGAAAAAAGATAGACAAATGTATCAAATACATCGCCACAATCAATCTTCAAATCACAAAGGAAGACAACTGAGAGGAAGAGAAGAGGAAAAGAACTACATAACACTCTGAAAACAATGAACAAGCTGACAATAGGAATGTCTTGCAATACATAATGGCAAAACGTAATTCTTAACTTAGCAAGAATTACAYTGAATGTAAATCAGAGTGGCTGAATCCACAGAGTGGCTAGATCCAGGGGTTGGGGATGTAGCTCAGTGTTAGAACACGTGTTTAGTATGTAGAAGACCCTGGGTTCAATTCCTAGAACAATAAAACAAAACAGAAACTGAAAAAATATGAAAAGACAACAAGAATTGTTGAGGATGTAGAGATGAAAGAATAATTTAACATTGTTGATGGGAATGTAAATTGGTGTAGTCATTATGGAAAACAGTATGGAAAATCCCTAAAACAATTAAAAAGAATGAATAGAATCACCATATGAATTAGCAATCCCACTAATGGGTATATATCCAAAGGAACTGAAATGAGGATCTCAAAGAGATATCTATACCCCTATGTTCACCGAAGTATTATTCTCAATTGCCAAGACTCGGAAGCAACTTAAATGCCCAGTGACAGATAAATAGAAAGTAAAAATGTGATATACACATAATATGTAATATTATTTAGCTTTATAAGACGAAAATCTTTTTGAGACAACAGAGATGAATCTAGAGTACAATGTTAAGTGAAATAAGTCAGGCATAGAAGGACAAATACTACTTGRCATCAATTATATGAAGAATCTAAAATAGTTAAAACTCATGGAAGCAGAGAATAGAATGATAGCAGCCAGGGTCTACAGGGATGTGAGATGGAGCAGCATTTGTCAAAGGGTAAAGTTTCAGTTATGAAAGATGAATGCATCCTGGAGATCTACTGTACAGCATAGTTATAGTTAGCAATACTATTTGCTAAGAGGATAGAGCTCATGTTGAGTACTGTTATCCCCTACCACCCAAATAATGAATTAAGAAGGCTAGAAGAAATTTTTGAAGGTGATGCATAGCTTTATGGCATAGGTTGTAGTGATGCTTTCATGATAGTATACTTATCTCCAAACTCATTATGTATATATGTACACATTTCTGTATGCCAATCATATCTTAATAAGATGATTTAAAAATATGCATAATATTTTGGATTAATGAAAAAAACTATTTTCACCTGTTATGGAAGCTAGTTTGAGTCAACTTACCAAGTTAATTTATACTTTTCAACTAAGGAATTAAAGATAATTAATAAATACTGTTTGACAGATAAATAATTCATAGAGAAAACTATAATTTTGACCCGATTCCCAAATATATTATCCACTAAATACATGAGGCTATTTTAACTGAAATTAAATTAAAAGTTACACTAGCCACACTGCAAGTGCTCCATAGACATGTGTGATTAGAACCTGCTGTACTGGACCATGAGAAGTTTTTTATTGGATAGTGCTGACTCTTATAATATCTTTTTCTTACTTAATTAAAATATACCATTTTTTTTCTGTTAACAGATGCATTTGATATAGAAACATTTAAATTTCTTAATTTCCCAGAATTGAATGTAGAGATGAGGTGCAACCCTGTCTGCTTTCTCTGCAACCAACCTTCTCGCTTCCCCCAGCAACAAAACCAAAAACAACTAGTTGGACTTTTTCTATGCTGCCTAACTAAGCTGAAATCATCTACAAGCTAGCATGCATTTAAATCACTGTTGTTAAGATTGAAAACCCTTTAAAAGGCAACTTTCTAGGAGGACTGTGCTGATGGATAGATTATATCTGAATGAAATTGTCCTGGATGTGTCAGGAAGGGGCAAGCTTAGCTTTACTTCACTCTAGTGGGTCAACTATGCAGGGTTGCAGGCTGCTGCACTGGACTCCTTATAGGGTAGAATTCTGATTTTCTGTTGATCCACCTCTCCACCTACCTACAGGGTAGTTTTCCTTTAATTCCTTTCCACTGGATGGTGAATGTGTGATGAATGTGAAAGTGTAGGTATTTGGTGACATGGTACTATTCTAAAGTCATCTTTCCTCATGGTTGTTTTCCACTTTAAGACCTGCTACCAGAGAAACTGGAAAACAAACACACACACACACACACACACACACACACACACACACACACACACACGGAAAAAAAAAAAGCCACACACACAAAGAAAAAAAACAAAACCCAACTAGAATCCCACCACCCAGAGAAAAGCTGTGTTAACATTGTGGCTGCTAATC